TTTTGCTTTATGATTAAAAGGAATTTTTTTTTTTTTTTTTTTTTTTTTGTTGATGAAGATGATGGTGATGTTGAAGATGATGATGTTGCTGCTGATTTGAATATGAGGATGAAGGGAACAAAAAAAAAATCGAAACCCATCAAAATTCCAAGGGTTCCCCAAATCAATATTGCTAATGATCTGTCCTTTTTTTATCAAAATCTGATGATGTTGTTACTGATTTTATCATTTTATCATCTTTTATCAAAAATCGACCCCCTCTGGTTTGCCCTTGGCTATCTCCTTGCTGGGTTCCTTTTTTTTTTTCGAAGGTTGCTGCTGGGTTCAGTTAAGATGAACAAATTATTCCAAAAAGGGTTAAAGAGGAAGAAAGGGTTTTGATGGCTTTTCCATTGATGGTTTGAGTTTTAGAGATGGGTTTTGATCTTCTTCCCCCCTCTGGTTTTTGTCCTTTTTTTCTGTTATTTTTTTTTATTTTTTTTTTTTGGAAAATTGGCCCCAAAACGACGTCGTTTTGGGGCCAATTTTCCAAAAAAAAAAATAAAAAAAAATAACAGAAAAAAAGGACAAAAACCAGAGGGGGGAAGAAGATCAAAACCCATCTCTAAAACTCAAACCATCAATGGAAAAGCCATCAAAACCCTTTCTTCCTCTTTAACCCTTTTTGGAATAATTTGTTCATCTTAACTGAACCCAGCAGCAACCTTCGAAAAAAAAAAAAAAAAGAACCCAGCAAGGAGATAGGCAAGGGCAAACCAGAAGGGGTTGATTTTTGATAAAAGGTGATAAAATGATAAAATTAGCAACAACATCATCAGATTTTGATAAAAAAAGGACAGATCATTAGCAATATTGATTTGGGGAACCCTTGGAATTTTGATGGGTCTCCATTTTTTTTTTTGTTCCCTTCATCCTCAGATTCAAATCAGCAACAACGTCATCATCATCTTCAACATCACCACCATCTTCATCAACAAAAAAAAAAAAATTACCTTTGATCATCAAGCAGAACCAGAACCAGAAGAAACCCAAAATTTCTCCAAAGAAGAAGATCCAGATCCACACCTTCATCAAAATTTCCACACCTTTTCCTTCATCATCATCATCGTCATCATCATTTTGGAGTATAGAAAGAATCCAGATCCATAGAAGAGGGGGAAAAAAAAAATTGACAACAACAACATCTAAAACAGGGGCGATCGAGTGGGTTTGATTCATAAATTTTTTTTTTTTTTTTGGAACACACATAGTTCTGCAAATATTGGGTTTGATTTTTTCCTGGTTCTGCAAATATTGAGTTTGATTTTTTCTTGTTTGTGGGTTCTGTAATGTTATCTTTGGGTGTTGACTATTTGGATTTGGATCTAAATCTAAGAGGTTGCTGACAATGAGAGTGAAATATATATATATATATATACGTATTATACATATATATCTGCCATTGTTGAATATTTGGATTTGTGTGTGTGTGTGTGTGTGTGTGTGAGAGAGAGAGAGAGAGAGAGAGAGAGATGGATAACAGAGAAAGACAGACAAACTTCATTTGAGGGAGACGTGGAGTTGTTTGTTTTTGGGTTTGATTTTGATTTTGCCTCCTCTCAAGTGTTCGTTCTGTTTGTTTTTTTTTTTTTTTTTTTTTTTTTTTTTTTTTTTTTTTTTGTTGGAAAATTGGCCCCAAAACGACGTCGTTTTGGGGCGCTGCTGGGAAGGGCCGCTGGGAATGGCGGCCGAGGATCCGGACTCCTACATTTTAGGTTGAAAAAGCAGCATCATCTAAGGCATAGGAACCACCTATTGTGTGAAGGAGGTCTTGTCCTACTCGCGAAAAGGATACTATGGTCTGGCAACACCACAAATTGTCCCACACGCCAAATCAAAAGAGGTCCCTTCAGCCTCAATGCCTCATTTCCTAGATGGGTCTCTTTCCAGAATGTAGGGTTTGGCGTATTTTAAAAGATTTGCACCCACTTTCTAGGGTCTAGATCCCTTTCTTGAAGTCTCTCCTTCATTTCCTCCGTGCAATGGTTGAGATTCAACTAATCAAATCTAATGGTCCAGATCGAAAAAGAAGAAAAATAAATAAATAAAATAAAACAAATTGAAATTTCAGTTTTCCCGCCCAAAGCTATACAGGTTATACACATTTTGTTTTGGATTCACTGTCACTTAGCCTCACACTCACCACTTCTCCTCCACCAAACCCACCCTCACCAGCGACCCAATCCCAGCGGCAACCCACTCCTGACGATGGTGACCCACTCCTGAAACCCAACCGATCGAGGTGGATTGATTCTGTTTGCTTCGCAAACCAGAGCCCTCATGCTCTTCTCCTCCACTGAACTAAACCCGTCTCACTGGCGACCCTCTCTACAACGACCCCTTCCCCAAATCGAACCGATTGCTTTGCCCTCATTCTCTCTGCCCTCACTTCGTGAAGAATTGCTTTTTTGTCTTTGAAATTTTTTGTCTCTGTAGTTGTTGTCTGTAAGTTTTTGTCTCTGGAATTTTTTTTTTGTCTCTGAAGCAAATATATTTTTGTCTCTGAAATAAAGATTTTATTTTTGTAGCAGATTTTATTTCTCTGGAGTAGAATGCTTCTTTGGGAGGATGAAAGTTATGAATCTTTGTTGCCCATCTGCGGCTTAGCAGTTTCTTATTTTTCTAAATTTTTATTTTTATGGTTGTAATGGAACTTGTATATTATGTTTGCTAATGACTGGCACTATAATGGAATTTGAATTCAGTGTATTTTATGGTTTCTCAATTTGGGAATTTCTTATGTCTTTACTCATGACATAAACCAAAGACAAACTTTCACTGAGCAACATTAAATGGGTAAGTTCTATTCATTTCACTAGACTTGAAGAAAACAGATATTCTATCTTGCTCAATTTCCTTACTCCGGTATTTCAATGGAAATTTTTTGAGAACAAATAAAAATCAAATCTCTCTTCTTCACACTGACTAACTTATTATCTTCTTGCATGATATTACATATTGCAAATTTGGCTTACATACTAACCCCCTTCTCCCCATCAGTAAGTGAAAATTATTTCTCTCGTTGAAAGCTCAACGCAATTATTAAATTTCCACCATTCACAAATTTATGGTGAATGCTTACTCCAGAAGTATCACCAACATATGATGAAACACCAAAAAGGACTTTATCATCATTGTAATTGACTTCGATTTCAAAGCATTGGTTACTCCAATGGTGTGCAATAAGATTCATAAAACTAGCAGCATATAATACTATAATCTCTTTGAAGAGATTTAATCAACAAATCCTTGGCAGAACCCCACTTCAAAATTGGTACTAATTGGCACTAATGGCATCAAGATTTCCAAGGCACCTCCAGTACCAAAATATTGGAGAAGTTAATTTGTAAAGGCCGTCAATATGCTTTAACTAGATTCCATACCAAACTGCTCAGTTCATGTACTACTAGTGATTCAAGAAACAAAGGCTGTGTTTGGTTGTGTTCTCCAAATATATTTTCACCCTCCCATTTGCGCGTCACGTTTGGATACAATTTTCAAAATATATTTCCATCACACAATTCAAAATGCAACTCTTCTTCCCATTTGGCAAATTTCTCCGTTCGTTTCTCCACTGTGAAAAGCTTCCAAACATACATATTCTCTGTCTTCAGTCTTCTCCATTTCTGAAAAGCTTCACATGTAAAGAAATTTAAAGCTGAAGATCACAGTTTCATGAGTCGTCTTCCTCAAACTCCTTCAAATCTAAACCATGTCTGTAAACCCCCTTACCGCCCATAAATTCACATCTACCAGCTCCTACAAATCATCTGAGTTTCAGTTTGTGCGTTGTGGAAGATTCACCCTCCGAGAAATGAAACAACGACAAGAACAAGGTAAAATAAATCACAAATTTCTCTCAAAATATATACAACTCACTGATTTCTTGATTCATCTCCTAATTCATCCCCAAATTTATTTGTCTCGGGCCAATTTTGTGAAGCTTCTTCTTGAATCAAACACCTACCGAGAAAGCGTACATCCACCCACTCTACCCACTCCGTCATCGGTGACAACTATTCCACTCATACTGCTCTGGTACGCATATCCTTCAATCGAT